TTTATTTGAATATTTTTATATTTCAAGTTGTATTAGAATTTGTATTAGAATTTTACGATTTAAACTGCTCTTTACTAATCTGCTCGTTTAAATTCAGTTCTTAAATTATTCATATTTTCGTTGCTCGGTGAAAAAAGAAAGAAAATATTTTCGAATATTAGTAAGATCGAAATGAAAGTTTATTTTAAATATCCCTACACAAATAAAGAATTTAACATGCTTTTTAATACACTGTTTAAAAAGTTTGACATACTATTTTTCCTCGACACAAACGAAAAATATAAAATCACTGACATAATGGAAAATTAGGAAAATTGACGAAAAAACGAATGAACGAAAGATAGAAACGAAATCGATGCAATGTTTATCCAACTTCTAATGCGATTCTCGTGTTTGAAAAGTGGATTTGGCTCGATCGAAAGTCGTAATTATATATTTGGAACAACGCGACACGAATCAGAAATGTAAACAAACGAGCGAAAAATCAAGGAGAAAGATATAAATCGGCTCGTGACGAGATGAGATTATAATTACTGAGATTATAAATATTGTTGTTGTGATGAGCACCCTTCCACCAATACGTCTCATTAATATGCCTGTAGGTCTGGTTCGATTACATAAAACAGAAGTCTGGCTTGTATGCCGCCATCTTCAATCAACTGGTGTCAGATTGTTGTTTATATTGTACTTACATAAGTTTATACAACACTTGGCTGTACACTCAAGATAATATAATTATGATATGAGATTATAATTGATTATAGAAAAATTTTGTAATATAATAAATTAATAATTAATATCCAATATAATGAGTAAATAATTTATTTTTCGTAGATTTCTTCCTTCAGAATGAAACTGAAATTCTGAAAACTGAGATAACTTCAATTTTAACTTCAACGTGAGAGTTATTATATGGAATGTGAATTTTTTTTAATTAAATAGATGACGACACGATTAAACAATGTCTTGTTAAGAAATAGAAATTTGTAAATAAATTACAGGTGTTTGTACAGATTCTGTGCATATTTTTATTAAATATAATGAGAAAGAAATGAAAATTTATAAACTGTTTTACTTATTTATTAATTATTATAGAGAATATTGAATCTAGATATTTTATTAGAATTAAATTTCTGCGTTTTCAAATTTTCTATACAATATTTTCCTGCTACTCCTAGTCATATTGAAGTTACAATTCAAATCATCTAAGACAAATAATAGGTTTTGTTCACCATATGTAAGCTTCGTTTTGGAGAAAAAAGATTGCTCACCTCAAAAGTATTCTAGCAGAAATATTAATTTAATGTCCGTATTAAACGTGAAACTGTGACGAAATTATCTAGCTAATTAAAACTTTATAAAAATGTTGAGACAAGTTGATTGACACTGTCAAAGCGATACTAGAAATCTAACGTGGACCAATTTTCTGATTCGAATATTATAGAGAAATACACCATGTAACCTAGATATATTTAATACATACGTATCAAACCGCAAATCTTTACAAAGAAAAAAAACTATTACCTTCGCATGAATTTTCTTGCGAAAAATAACAATATTATATGTACAGAATGAATATCTTGATACTTGATATCTTGCTTTGAAGTATACTGCAGTGTTTCTTGCAAAATATAGTGAAAGAGGAGGTAAAATAAATTAAGAAGAATAAAAGTTATTAAATGATATTTTTCCACAGGCAAAACTAAAACTAAATATCACGTAGCAAAAAGTCCATAAGTGCTAAACGGCGTACATTTCAAAGTGTCGTTTCCGTTTATTCGATCTGAAATTGATATCAAAGTGCTACTGAATTTACTGTCGAGTGATATTCATATTGACTTTGTTGAATTCTTTCAGACACAGTTTTGATTCTCTATAACTAATTCATTTCGTGTAAATACAAACATATTAATATTTCTTCGTAAATAGAAATATAACAATGTAAGATCTTAGGGACGAATTGGAAGATCAGAAAATTGGTCCTTGTCCATTGATCCATCATTAAAATTGATATTTTTGTCATAACTTTTCGTCACATGATATTTCAATCTTATTTTTATCTGTAGAACATACTGACAGAATTTGAACAGTGATCAAACATTTTCCTTCGTTCAACATTTGAACTTTGAGCGTTGACAAAATAATCAAATTTACAAAAGGAGATGCAAATGAGATGAAAATTCGATACTTCGATACTTGGTATACGTTATCAAATTAATTTTCTTGAACACGGAGTCTCATTGTAAAAAAATTATATTCTTCGTTCTATCGTGGAGAATCATGTCTTATGTAATGAATGGAATGAATGTGCTTTTTATTAGTTTAATATTTGATTAGTTTGAATATACGTAACCTAATGCGATATTACGTAAGTAATTAATAAGTGAAGTAATTTGTTCACTTTTTATTGAATAGGTAAATTCACTTTTTAAATTATTTGTATTTTTAATGTTTGATAGAAAAAGAAAGAGGAGATCTTCCAGGCATTAATAAAATTAAACGAATAAAAATATTAGTAAAATTCATCGCGATGAAAATTATTTTTCAAATATTTTTCACAATCTTTTCTTGCGTAAATAAACAAAAATTATTTTAAAAAAAACCTAATGCATATAATTCAAACACCAATTTATATAATCTGATATATTCTTTCTCTCTTTCAATATCTCTGACGTCAAAAAATTTCGGAGTACAGAAAGTCAACAATTACTACTAATCATCACGTACCACTGACAATGAGTGTGTGGAATTGATTTTAATTTACTAATTAACTAACAAGTGGAGTTCAATTTAATTTCTATGGAATTCAACATAATCCATACTTTAAAGTGTGAAACATTTTATTGATTTATATACTTACTGGAATGTATTATACTTACTCTAACCGTATCATACAAGATCATCCTACTGAATCACTATAATGAATAGATCCACAGGCTTCCATCGATCCAGTCACAAATCACCAACACACTGTATTCAACAAAGCAATACTCAAAGACGTAGGTAAAAACAATCTCTATTGCGATTCCAATTAATCTTCAAAATATTCTGAAAACCCATTGGAAATCGCACAACCAACATTACGTAACTAGTAACCGCTCGTCGAATACTTTTCGTGTAAGAAATAATAATTCCTTGCTGTCGAACTGTTAAACTTTGAAATTTCTTATTATCATGTGCAATAACGGTTCTAACGTCCTCTTTTAAAAATTCAACAACGGATCAAAAATCACAGATCTGTACGGTGGTTTCTATGCGGACACTGAACCGACGACGATGTCGTCGTGTGTTGGCTCTGGCAGTGGCGTTTCGGATGACCGAAGAAGAGGCTCGAGACGGAAACGGAGCTGGTCGGCTTGCGGTAACCAAAGGCGAATGCTGTCCGCGACAACACGATACTATCGCGAGTGGTTTTGTAGAGGAATAAGCGAGCGTGTTGTCTTATATGCAACGGAAGGCTGTTACACAACGAGAACTATGATACGACGAACTAGTTGGTGGAAACAGTGAAAGGATTACGCAGCGAGAAGGTGCTTTAACGCATTCCGACGCGGATTGGCGGATCTTCGTTGCGTTAGAAGTTACCTTTTCATGGCGTGTAGTAGATGGTTAATGGTTCTACTGTTTTCACATGTCTCTCTCTTCTTTTTACACTCGAGAGGAGTGAGGACGTGGGCACTGCGTTTCGCGCCGAAATTGTAGTCAAAAGTTTGTAAGTTGTAATGTATTTCTACATCAGATATATTTGTTATATTATAGTCATGTTTTTTAATTATTTAATAAATATCAGTAATAATAATTTGGAATCCTAGACATATTACATATTACTGTTCTCTCACATTTCTCTCTGAAAACCTAAAAGTAACATTTCAGATCCCACGAATCGATCTTCGCAAACTTCTTTCTAGTTCTAGCTTTTTTTCTTGAAAGAAAAAAAAAAAAAAAAAAAAAAAACGAAGGTAATCCTAGATTCCGCGAATCTATCTACGTTCGAACCTCTTGCTCTTACATTTCTCTTCAAAAAGAAAGAAAAGTGAAGAAACAACCTTGCTTTCAAGAATCAATCAAACTTCCCCCAATCTTTCTCTTATCCTTCTCTTAGAAAAACCGAAAAACGGAGGATTTTCAAAATCAATCTTTTCAAACCTTCATCCTACTCTTTCTTAAAAAAAAAAAGAAAGAAAAGAAACATTTATTTTATTCAAAATAACTACGAATCAACGTTCGAATTTCTTTCCACTCGTTCCTCTTGTATTTTTCTTTAAAAAGGAAGCTGAACAAACAATCGAGAATCGATCAAAGTTACAAACCATCCTCTCTCACCCGTTCTTTCACTCTTTTCTTCTTCTTATCAAAAAAAAAAAAAAAAAAAAAAAAA